AGTCACTATGATTAACTAACCTTCTACAGTCACATTATAGATTAAACTAACCCTTAACAGTCACTTATGATTAAACTAACCTACACAGTCACTTATGATTAAACTAACCTTAACAGTCACTTATGATTAAACTAACCTTAACAGTCACTTATGATTAAACTAACCTTCACAGTCACTTATGATTAAATTAACCTTAACAGTCACTTGTGATTAAACTAACCTTCAGTCACTTATGATTAAACTAACCTTCACAGTCACTTATGATTAAACTAACCTTCACAGTCACTTATGATTAAACTAACCTTCACAGTCACTTATGATTAAACCAACCTTCACTGTCACTTATGATTAAACTAACCTTCACAGTCACTTATGATTAAACTAACCTTCACAGTCACTTTGAAGTAAAGCACTAACAGTTTAATTAACAATTTTCAATAACAAAATAGTTTTGATAGTTTCAATATTTTCAATTAAATAACAACTCATTTTTTCAGTTATAAATAAAAAACTCTTTTTAATAGAAGAACTTGTATATATCAATTTCTCGTTATTATTTATGTCTCAAAGAATAAAATATGTGTTACAACATTTTGTTTCATCTTCAAAGCTTGATAACAATTTGCATAAAACGTTTGAAGTTATCCACAACCTGAGGTGGAATTAGGGAGTTCAATATGCTATTTTAAAAAGATTTTTAGCCTTCTCTAAGGATTACCAAGGACACAGGCTACTGACACGTCTGAGTTTTGGCAACTAATTTAGACTTAGTAGCTAAATATCAACCACGTTACTCGTGCTTCGGGTAAAACTGATAGGAGTTAGCGATGTAAAACTTGAATATGTGAAATATATTCCTATAATACTGATAATGAATTAATGATTAGTGTGACAATGAAACTATTTACAATCAGAAACTGATTAATGATAAAATCTTTCTTTTGTTTTATGGCTTTTAGAATTTTGTATGGGAGAAGCAAATTTTAATTGAAATCAAAAGAATTATGCAGTTAACCACAACTATTTAAAAATACTTATTTGTTTTTGTTACTAAAAATGCTCAAATCTTAGATTCTTCAAGGGGCTGTTCCTGAGCCCCATTATGGACACCTCTGGCAGGCACCAGGTCTCCTTTTCAATTGGGGGTCTAAGAATCCTGGTATATATATCAACAAACACTTTTTATGTGTATAATTTTGTTAGCAATTTTTCTAAGAACCTTGTTTATGAATACATTGTCCACCATCTTCATGTATAATGCATACAGAAATATTAGTAGAAGTTTCTCAAGTATATTCTTAGGCCCATACATAAAAATATTTTTATCAATTCAATACGGAATAAATGCACACCTGCCCTCGTTTCCACTGTTCCTGGAAAATTTGAATGTTTTGATGAAGTTGTGAGTCATGAAGACGCAAGAGTTTGCCGCTACACAGCCATGAATGTGGAATATCTGGATGAAGCAGGGAACTCTCTGTAAGGTTTCGACTTTGAATGGACGAACTTCTTTGTGGTTTAGGAACATCAAGAGAGCTACAACTGAACTGCAGTTGCTCTTTCTTAACCTCCGGTTCTGTGACCTGGGATACACTTTCTACTATATTTTCCTTCAAGTGTTCTTGATTATCCTCAGTACTACTTCCACTAACTCCCTTTTCATTTGGTCGGATCAGCAGTTCACGTAACGTTGAACGATTTACACTTCTTTCTTCACGGCCATTCACAATCTCTTTTCCCTCTTCAAGATTTGTAGTTTCACACTCAGCTTCAGTACCAGTTCTCGGTGATGGTCTTGAACTCTTTCCTAGTGCCACATCAGCAAGCCAACTCAGAGGAGAACCCTCACTGTCTGATGTGTAACCACTCAACTCTTCACCTTTTACAGGATCAGACAGGCCATTCTTTCTGCCGAACTGTGTTAATTCTGATGAGGAGTTATGACTGACAGGAGCAACTTCCTTGTCACAAATATGCATGTTTACAGCACTGATGAGCTGCTAAAGAAGACAACACATAATATGTGAGGTAGATCCAAACTCTAGGTACATGTGATACTATTTTTAATCATATCAGTATGAATTTCACTTCAATGCTACAATAATAAAAATACAGAAGAAAACTTGTTCAGTCTCGCAAAACTACAACTGCCCTTAAAGGACCAAACAGTTTGTTGTTATCTGTATGTTAAGCCATATCAGTCACAGTAATGTTTCACGGGTTAGCTTCCATTTATATAGAGATATAAGTATGTGCATGAACTGGTTATGTCTTACGATACATGGACTGTCGCATCCAAGGGATCAGGTCAAGATTAGTACAACATGATGATGGAAGGGTAGTTTTAGTGTAACATTAGTATGATTAGTACAACATGATGATGGACAAGGGTCAGTTTTAGTGTAATTTTAGTATGGATTAGTACAACATGATGATGGACATGGGTTAGTTTTAGTATAATTTTAGTATGATTAGTACAACATGATGATGGACAAGGGTTAGTTTTAGTGAAATATTAGTATGATTAGTACAACATGATAGAAATGAATACAAACCCTATAACCCAAGCGCTGAAGAAGAAAGGTCCACCTTTCGAAAGCACTCTGGTTATAGGGTTTTTATTAATTTCTATCAAGACCTCTTGAACCTACATGTTTTTCTAACATCATGATAATACAACATGATGATGGACAAGTTTTTCACTTATATTTATCTATTTATTAAATAAGCGTTTGAGAAAAAAGAATAAACCATTAAAATCAATAATAATGCAAAAACTTATTTTGATATCTTAGCTGTGTAATTTGAATTAATTTACTTTATGACATCAATGTAAAAACAGCCATTTGTCAGTACCAATTATTAGGAAACTTACCTTACATATTCCATTGTTTGATTTTCTTCCTGAAGAACAAAAGGTTGTAGCTTGCAACATATTTCCCATATCCCAAAGAGCTGTTCCAGGTATGATTTGTGTCAGCATTAATTTCTCTTGGTCATGAGGCTGCCGATTGTTACACAGAAGCCACTGACACTCATCTCTGTCCTTGTGGGGAAAATCGTCCTCTGAAAAGCACAACACTTTTAGTTTAAACCTGTAGCACTGCTTAGACATTCAGTGTTTGTAAAATTTACCACTATGTTTATGATCCACATTATTTGTTATGTTTTAATGCCATGGTAATAAAATCAATGAACTAACAGCAAATAAAACACTAAACATTAGTAATCTTACAATATTACTTTAAACCTAACGTTTATTAAAGTCTTCAGTATTGTGCAAATCTGTCCACATTATAACTGAGAAATAAAAGAAGGGGTTCTGTAACTTGTTTGTTTCTAAGTAATCATCATACCTTTCTTCGATCCATCCTTTCTAGCTCTGTAACAATCTATACAAACAACAAAGCCACACTTGTGACAAACCCAGTGAATGTTGAATAAAGTGGCTTCGCATATGTCACACATCTCGCGGACATTTTGTACCATCCTCTTCCACGTTATCGTTTTATCTGGAAAAGCACACAGTACTACAAATGACTGACTGTATTATCATAAATTGCTTTAATATCTATATTGATGGTTAATTTCTACTTAAACTCCTTTTCGACCTTTATTACTCAATTACATTCTACAATGAAGCATATATATTCCTTTTTAAAGTTCCATGAGGCAAAACATAAGCAATCAGAAACAATTAATATTCTAAAACTCATCACAGCTTGAATATACCAAGAGACAATATTCTAAAGTTCCTTTAAGAAATTACCTAGATATCACAGTGAAGCTAATCAAATGTATACAGACACAGTCCACAATACACCTTGCATTGTATGTTACTTCTAAAGTTCATTAAATGCTATTAACAAACTGAACACCAAGATTACCAACATCATACTTCATCACAATAAATGAATGATAGATTTTTACCAAACTAACTGAACATTTTAC